CAGGGGCTTTTCACCGGCATTTTTGAGTCTTTCGCTCACAAAACTCTCAGCAGTGGCGGCGACTTCCACATTCGACCTGTTGGTGACGCAGCTCCCGTCTTTGTGGCCACCCTTCCGCAACAGAACACGCGAGAGGTCGATGGACAGCTACCTCAGCTGCTCCAAGCGGCTGTAAGCAAACCGGAGACCTACTGCAGATCGACCAACCCTCGTGTGGAAGTCATCGACGCATGTTTTCTTGACCGTTCGCAGACCTTGCATGCCTTTCAGATAACCACAGGCGGCGCACACAAGTTCAAGTCACAGCTGATGCGCGATGCACTTTCTCAAGTTGGCGACATCAAGAGCATCAAACTGTATTGGGTCGTGCTTGCAGAAGATTTTTTTGGATTCCGTACAAAGACAAAGCCCGACCTCGGCATCGACGTGACATGCACTGTTCTAAGCCTCACGGCTCCAAAGAACCCACTTTCCCACGAGAACCTCAAACAAAGACTCGAAGGACTACCGACTGACAACGCCAAGCTTAGACAGGAAATCCAAAGAAGAACAAGCAGCTGGCAGAAGATCCCAGACACTGCCTCACTATCTTCACACGACCTTGCAAAGGCTTGTGCCTTGGCGACTTTTGATTTGGCCCACGTGAAGGCGCTGTGTAAGCAGCTTGGCATTGATGTTTCAGACCCGACGTGGTTCTCTCAAGCTGTCAGTCGCTGGACAGAGCTGTTGAAAGCTCTACGCCCGTGAAAAAGAGTCCTCCGCGAAGATGCTGCTAAGAGTATACTGCAAAGAACTGCCAAGTGTATTCAAAGTGTATTCTTTTGCACTTCAAGATGTGACATTGTGCCGTCGCAGGCCGGATCAAGGGGATGGTGAAGCTGAGAAGAGCTGCGAGGCTCGGCTTGCAGTGTGGTTTGCTGGTCGCTTCAGATGTTTTGGGGTACTGGCTCTATTGTCTCAAGCCCCGCGAGAGTTCGAATCTCCTTGAACCTGGGTTCGGAGCGATTGCCGGGACCTTGCTCGCAGGGACCACTCGACATGCAAATGCTGGAAGTTGAAGGCCACCTTTTGAAAGATGCTCATGCAGCGCTTGAAGATCAGCAGTCATCGTCGGATCGCACCTTAAAGCGCCAAATTCGAGGGAGACGCGGTTTCATGGCAGCTATGGCTACTTCCACGACCACATCTGAGTCGAACCTCCCAAACCTCTACCCCGCCAGGCCGCACTATGGCCCAAAAGATTTTGCATGGATTTTGCGCGCACTTTCGGGCGTTCTAAAAGCCAGCCCTGGGCCTCCTAGGCCACGTTTCGGAGCGAGTT